CAAATAAATGGGCGTTTTATTTCTGCTTTAAGCACCGCAATGAGCAATTAAGCTCCAAATTTCAAAGCTAATAAAGCGACTATTAAAGTGACTATTAAAGTGACTAACTCCCACTGAAGTCAAGGAGAGAGAGAGAGGGAAACATGAAGCCCTCTGAGGCTCTGTATTTTAATGCAGATTAAATATTTATTAACTATTGCAATCTAACAAGATTTCAGCCTGAAAATTTCACTGCCATCTCTGAAGGAAATGGCTTGGAACAATTTCAGTTACACATAAACAAAGACTGCATTCTGAAACCCTCACTCAGGTAAAGCTCCTATTGCCCTTGCCAAATAAAACCAGCAGGATCAGGTATGGAAAAATAAAGCCAATTCGACATAAGAGGATATTTATCTGCAACAGCTACAACACCCTGTAGGACAGCATGGCATGCTCCATAATTGAGTGGTAAGTTATCTTTCATATTATATTTTTCTTATGCAATATATTTCACAGTGATTAAGTCAAAAATATAAGCAATGAACTTACCCAAATTCTTTGATCAGGCAATTGGAACTGGGAGCAAAATTGAAACAAAAACAACATATTATTCCTGCGTTGGAACCCTCATTGCAATCAATCTACCTACTAAGATTTTATTTAAAGACACCAATTAAAATGTTATCCTGTTGCAGGAGGGTATGCTCTTCCTAAAAATGTAATCCTTGTTACGAAAAATTATTGTGAAATGCCATTAAATTTTCTAACTTTCATAGCTTTTGGGCCACTGCCACTGGGAGGAATTTTGCCCAGGCAGGGACAGGATAAGGAGTACAGGCTTTATGTCTGTAAGCTCTACTTCAGAAACCTTTTCAAAAGATCCATCTGTTTGCTGTCGTATTACCCAGTTAAAAAAAAAAAGAAATTCCTTCTTCCTGAGATGGCAATTTTCAGAAATAAATGCACCTATGGAAACACAAGCTTGTAGGACACAAACAGTAATTCTGGAGATATTTTACATGGAAAAGTCCTGCCAGCAGAAAATGAAAACTTGTGGAGCGCTCCCCACCTGTACTTTTACAGGGGTGAACAGGCCTATA